ATTTTGTGGATCATAACAAATTGTGGACAACATTGAAAAGAATGGGAATTCCAGAACACTTAATTGGACTCATAAGGAACCTGTACCTAGACCAGAAGACTGTCGTTCAAACAGAACAAGGGGACACCACGTGCTTTAAAATCAAGAAGGGAGTGCGTCAGGGTTGTATCCTTTTACCATACTTATTCAATCTATATGCTGAGCTAATAAACTGAGAAGCTGGACTATATGAAAAAGAACGTGGCATCAGGATTGGAGGAAGGCTCATTAACAACCTGCGATATGCTGATGGCACAACTTTGTTTGCTGAAAGTGAGGATGACTTGAAGCACTTACTGATGAAGATTGAAGAGTACAGTCTGCAGCATGGATTACATCTCAATAGAAAGAAAACAAAAATTCTCACAACTGGACCCATTCCAAAGAAAGGAGCATCATGATAAATGGAGAAAAGATTGAAATTGTCAAAGACTTTACATTACTTGGTTCTACATTTGACACCAATGGAAGCAGCAGTCAGGACATTAGACAACGTATAGCACTGGGCAAGTTGGCTGCAAGAGACCTCTTTCAAGTGCTGAGGAACAAAGATGCCTCCTTGAAGACTAAGGTTCATCTGACACAAGTCATGATATTTTTAATTGTCTCATATGCATGTGAGAGCTGTGCAATGAATAAAGAAGACTGAAGAAGAATTGATGCTTTTGAGATCTGGTGCTGGTAAAGAATCTTCAAAGTACCATGGACTGCAAAAAGAACTAACAAACCTGTCCTGGAGGAAATGCCACCAAATGCTCCTTGGAAGTGAGAATGGCCAGACTTGGTCTCACCTACTTTGGTCATGTTGTCAGAAGGGACCATTCCCTGGAGAAGGGTGTCATGCTCAGTAAGGCGGAGGGTTGACAAAGGAGGAGAAGGCCCTCAAAAGAGATGGATTGACACAGTGGCTGCGGCTACAGGGTCAGGTATAGTGGGGATCACAGAGCTGGCCTGGGACCAGGCGGTGTTTCATTCTGCTGTGCATAGGGCCATTATGAGTCGGAGGTGACTCGACAGCACCTAACAACAACAACAAGCTTCATACCTTTGATGATATCAGCAGAGCACCAACACCAGCCAGGACCCCATAAACACTCAGGGCCTTCACCTACAGATTCTCTCTCTTTTTTAACCCATAACACAGTGTGATGGGGGAGCTGTATTTTCAGAACTAACAGAAATACTCCAGTGTCTGTGAGAATTCAAGAAAACTGGTCATAGACAGGGACAAGGATGACTCCGGAGGGGCAGGTCTCAGCCTCCACGGCCAGAGCTGCTCCATCGTTAGGCTCTGGGCAGTAGACTCTGTCACGGAACATGCAGCACCAAGGCCCCATGTGGCCAGCTCTGAAAATCACATTAGGAAGGTGACCCCAGGCATCCAAATATTTAAAAAACAAAACAAAACAAAACAAAACAACACTTGTACAGAAAAAATACCCAGTGACAATGCAACAGGGCTTCAAGAAACCTCAAAAGGCTCATTCCTGGGGCCTTCTCTACCACTCTTTTCTTCACTGAGGAAGCAGTCCTGCTGCACATGGCTGGTCCTCCAATTCATGTCCAACCTCACACACTTATGGTAAGAAAAACCCACATCCTCTAGAACTCACCATTTCCTGCTCCACCTTCTAGAAGTCTAAGGAAGACTAGGTCCTAAGTTCAAGAAACCACTTCAGGAAAAGGAAGGGGAGTGGAAGCAGAGCACTGGGCAGTTCAGGAGTAGATGAATAATGTTGGGTCCACACAACATTCAGAGCAGTTGAAATCTTCCTTGGGATTTACAGATGTCCGAGATGGTTGCCCTAGCTCCCCAGCTGCCTGGACTGGACTAGCTCTGCTGTCCGACACTGGAGACCTGAACGGAAGAAGAATGGGAGGAGACAGTGGTGAGCCAGCAGGAGTGACAGGCGTGTGGCTTCCTCCCAGGCCCAGGGCCATGCTCCACCCTGAGGGCATCTGCACTGAAGGTGAACAGGCTCCAGCCTCCAGAGCCCAGGCCTGCATTCTCCATACAGCTCCCTGGGCCTCTTCTTCCTACAAAACCACTAGGGATGGAGGAATTCACTTATCCCAGAGCATGAGAAATGACCAGACCTGGCCAGCCTGGAAAACTTGACCCAGATTTTCTCTAGGGAGACAGGGGTCCAATGTGGAAGTTGCATGTTCATCTATGTAACCTGTCCCTTGTACAACCATACATACACTGATATTAAATATTAGCTAGGGTGAATTTTCATGAAGAACATAGTTTTCAAGTTTTGACAACGAACAACCTAGTTTGTTCTTTTTTTTTTTTTTATTATTTGCAATCGAAAAACCTTTCCACTGTGTTTAAAATTGTTTAAATTTCATTTAAAGCATTGTAATAAGTGATCAGTATTTTTTCTGCTGCTTTTGTAATTACCATTTCTTCCCTATGAATTTGTGGGTTTTTCTCTTCTTTTTATCTCCAGCAATGCCACCAGCAGTCCCTAAGCTTTTGAGAAATTTAGAAGAATTCCTAAACTCTTTGTCTCAACCTTATAATAAATCAAACAGATGTATTAGAAAATCTTTACATTTGCTCGGAGGTGCTGTGTCCCACCTCTGTTCCCGCTGCTTTCCCCATTCCTTTCTCTAAAGCAGACTCTACATCTAGGGTTCCTTACCATCTTCCACGACTTGTTCGTAATAAGGTCCTGTCTGACATCATTCAACCACGCTTATCATATCCAAACTCTCTTTCCAGCACAGGAACTGCTGAAGGCCCGTCAGGGGTTGTGCACTGGCCTGATCAAGCCCAGAGTGGTCAGCATGGCTCTAAATGACCTGCCGCCATTGCCTCCTCCAATCTGCCTCACAGACCCGCCCCACCCACGTTTCCTCTGCTCCCATCTTCTCTTGACTTTCATCAAGGGACAGAGCATGCTGGGCTCTCTGCTGCCTCAGGGATTTACACACTCAGTTTTCCCACCTGAAATCCTCCTCCCACCCCCACCCACACCACCTGCTATCTGACAATGCAAGTAGCTAAAATTTTCTGAAACGTCATTGAAGTATTTTTACTAATTTCATTACACAAGCTTCCCATTTTGCCCTTATTTCTAACATTCTCTGCTTTGACACTGGGAATATGGACGGTCTGTGATGCAGGAAGCCTTCCACCTTTTAAGAACCGTGGTTCTCGGTGCAAACACTGATTCATTCCGCAGCGTCCACTGCAGCACAGAAACACACACTGGGGGTGTGAGCTCCATACACCCCTCCCTGCCTGGAGGAAGATCGTCCAGCAGCGTCACATTTCCTATCAGACTAAGTCAGACTGGCCCAACGGTTCCTCACACGATCTGGATGAAACTGCCTGCCTTACAGTCAAAGAAATGCTGGGAAACATGCCCACTAATAAAATGTTTTCCTTCTGAAATTGGGATAAATAGGAGCCTAAAAGTACGTATTAGTTCTAAATCATGTCACTTAATTCTTCATCTTTTCTAAATATCTATAATCATTAAAAGAGGAGGGATGGATTTTTCACCATAATCGGCATTTCTGTAAGACCAGCAACACTCAACACAAGCGCTCAGATGACTCACCGGAAACAATGTGTAGCCGTTTCCGGTAAGAAATTGTGGCGAATTCGCCCTCTGAGGGAAGAAGAGACTGGACCCTGAGTTCACACAAGGGCCGTTACTGTCCACGGACATGCGAGGGGCCCCGGGATGATACCTGTTCCCGCACCGAGAGACGCAGGTCCGCGCCCGCTCCTCGGCGTCCAGGAAGCGGCTGCGGCCGCCTGGCCGGGATCGTGCGGGAAGCGGCGGCGGCGGCGCCCCAGCGACAGGAGGTCCCGAGGTTCCGGGAGGCGGAGACAGCGAGTGCGCAGGAGAGCGGGGGCGGCCCCTCGGCCCGGGACCGGAGCCCACGGGGAAATCGCCAGGGGAACCGGCCGCCGGGCGACTGAGGAAAAACTACCTCAGAACTGATCAGGAACGCAACAAAGGCAGCTGTCAACCAAAACGCATGCTTCCGCTTCTGGCTTTTGTGACCTCGGGGTCTCAGGGGCAGGTCCGTTCAGCAACTCCCAGGGCTGTAACTGCTGACCTTGGGATTCCCTGGCTCCCCGTTGTGTGTGAAAAGGTCCACAAAAAACAAAGCCAAACTCACGGCCATCAAGTCCATTCTGATACCGACCTGCATTGGGTTTCTGAGGGGGGATATATTTCCACTAATAGATTGCCCCATCTTCCTTCCATGGAGTGGCTGGCGGGTTTGAACCACCAACTTTTTGGTATGTAATCAAATGCCCTAGGCACTGTACCACCAGACTCCTGCTCATAAGAAATGCCTAGAATTACTTCAATTACTTTGTGAACTGAAAAGCTGATTTCAATAATCACAGATACCCTTGAGGAGTTGAGAAATTTAGTATTTAAATATTTGGTCTTTTTTTTTTTTTTTAACCATGTTCTTTAAAGAAATCAATTCTTTCCTCCTCACAAGTATTTCCAGACTTGACAATAATTGCAAGTCTCCTGTCTGACTTATTTCATGGATTGTCGTCCTTTTCTATCAGGTATGTTTTCCTATGAGCTGGGCAGACTATGCAAACCCAATGTGATCTCTCCAAGTACAGTGCCCCCTGGAGAGAGTCTTCCAGGATGAAAGGCAGGAAGACACTAGTCACTGAGGGCAGGTAGGTAGATAAGATGGTGAAATACTTTTGAAAATGAGTTATAAATATTATTACTTTTCCCTCATACATATATGCATATATGAAAGTGCAAAATGTGTTCTAATAATGTGTACAAAGCAATCAACTTTGATATCTGGATAGAGTATTATAAAGATACTCTGGTGTGTTATGGTTAAGGCATTGGGCTGTTAACCAAAAGGTCCCTGGTTTGAACCCACCAGCCAGTCTTTCATTGGAAGTTGGCTCAAATGCTTTGCATGAGTGACAGGTGATAACAACATGGCCATCTCTACCTCCCAAGGTTGGTAAGGATGAAAACAACTGCTCTAAATACTTGTGTGCAGCTTTTTCTATGGACATGTTTTTGAACCATTTGGGTAAATATTTAGGAATGCTTTTGCTGGATGGTAACAGTAGGCCTCGGTTTAGATTTGTAGGAAATTTTCAGATTGTCTTTCAAAGGGGCATTCCCACAAAATACTATTTTACCTTCCAGTTTGAAAAGATCAGTTTGTTAACACTGTTTTTGCCGTCAATGGTGTGGGGAAACGTGCACTCCTATATAGTACTGGCAGGGTTTAGACCGGCACAATTCCTACTGAGGGCAATTTGAGAGCATCTATCAAAATTCAAACCCACCAGCCACTCCTCGGAAGGAAGGTTGGGCAGTCTACCTCTGTAGTGATACTGCCTTGGAAACCCAAGGAGGGGTCGCTGAGTCGGGTCCGACTCAACAGCACGTAACAACAACATCAAAATGTGAAGTGTATATTTTAAAACACATCTATTGATCTAACAAAATTTCACTGTTAGAAATTTATCCTACACATATTCCTCACAGATGTGCGTGAAGAGCAAAAATGTGGCTTGCAACATTGTCCAAAGAAACAAAAGGATAGTTTTCACAAGAAGAGTGGAGATTATATTGTGGTCCGGTCACACATTATCTACCATTAGCTATGTGCTATGTGAGATGATGTCCAAGACAGACTAAGTGAGAAAGACAAGAGAGCAAGGGGCAATCTGTCTGGGAATCTATTGCTTGTGTAGAAAACGTCATTTGTGGTGTTTTTTTTTTTTTTTCTTTTTTTTTTTAAAGAAAACCTCAGGATACACAAGATGAGACGGTCACAAGTTGCAGCACCTTTCTTCACAATTTTCAAAATGCCCAGGGCTGGAGCCAGAGGCTCATCCTGAGACAGGCCTAGAGGGAGTGACAAGGTGGACAAATTATGGACAAGGATAGGAACACAGGAGAGCAGCACAGGTCTTAGGCTCAGCAACCCCAGGGAAATACAGCCAGAGGACAGTGGAGTGGATTGGCCTGGGAGAACCCATGGGTGGAAGGCAGGAAGGACGCAGCGTGCACAGAGGGGAAGGAATAGAGGTTAGGACAACAGTGCAAGTGTGGGCAGTGGTGGGTGAATGAGAGGAATAGGACCCAGAGTAACATAGCAACCATGGGACAGCACCTCACCAGGAAACAACCCCCCCCCCCCAATCACTGCTGAGACATGGAAGAGCATCTGCTGGGTTTGAACTGCTGATCTTTTGTTAAACACCTCAACACTTATCCCCTGGATCACCAGGGCTCCCAGGAACAATAAGCATACCTAGTGCCCGTATCATTGTTCATAAATATCATTCTCTAATCAAAGTAACTGGAGTTTCCTGGAGAAATTCCTGATTCTAGAACTGAAACAGGAAAATGGCAGTTGAGTTTTTGACACTGTCTGAAAATCTGAAAATGTACAAATTTTCATGGGAATATATATTTAAAAAAACCCAAAAACCCTACTTAATGCAGCTCATAATTACTAAATCTAGAACAATATATGCAAGAAAAGAAAAAAAGGACTGAAATTGAACTTACTCAATACACGGACATATAGAGTGAATATTTACATAAGGTAGATACACTCCTTAGAAGAAAGGCAGTATTTGCATAGGGAGATAGTGCAGGGGGCAGAAATGCATAGGAAAGAAGGACACAGTGAAGAGGTAATCACAGGCAGGAAGTGAGACGAGAGATGGCACACTGTAGGAAACGCCAGTCAATGTCATGAAACAAAATGTATATGAACTACTGTATGGAAAATGAATTTACTCTGTAAACTTGACCCTAAGTCAAAATAAAAATTAAAACAAAATACCACAGTATGAGTGTACTCTAGTGTACTTGGAAGGGTTGTTTTAATGCAAGGAAAGGCACACTATGTATTATATACTAAGACAGTCATTGGACTAACATTAGATACACACATGAACTGTTTTGACTTACGTAGAAATTAGTCTTAAATGGAGACTCAGAACCTGAAATAGTAATCTGGTGACTAACCCTACTGTTATAAAAAATTGAATAAATAAAAAGGAGAGAAGGGAAAGCTTTTTCTTGCAGAATTCCAATGAATAAAATAAACACAGAACAAATGATTGGAATAGAAAACACCATTTGGTAAAGACCACCAAAAAAAAAAAAAAAAACCCAAAACTCACTGCTATTAAGTTGATTCTAACTCACAGCAACCTCCACTGAGTTTCCAAGGCTGTCAGTTCTTACAGAAGCAGACTGCCTTATATTTGTTCCTTGAAGAGGTTGGTGGGTTCGAACTACCAACCTTCAAATGCCTTAACCACTACACCACCAGAGCTCCTTGTAGAAGACCACAATACTACTAATGGTAGGTAATAATTATCAATGGCTGTGAATATCAGTACGCCAAAGTACAAATGAAAAGAGAGTACATGCACAATCTGAAAGGATCACCCTATGAGAAACTAATGAGAGAGGGTCAAGTTGTTTATTCCACAATAGGAAAGTATGAAAGGAAATGGGTTAAATTTGAGAAATAAGACAAAGTAATACTCTCAATGGTAATGCAAGATTGTGTATTCAACTCTACAGAAAATAACATCAATAAAACCATAAAAACATAAAAGCGTATTGTTCAAGGCTACTCCCTGTAGCCTGATTTGTAAATAAACCAAAGACTTACAAGAAACAAAAAATTGCTCCGATTAAGAAACTAACAAGCAAGGATGAGGTTGGTCCCACAGTTACAGTAAAACGGTCATTTCTCTCAAAGGCACAAAGTAGTATTCCTGACACCTCTGAGTTATTATTGCCTTCATACTCACTGAGAAACTTATTCTTTAAGTGGAGATTTTCAGGAATTTGCTGTTTGAAATTTTAACAGGAGGAAACAGCCCACTTTTGCCACAAAGTCAGTCAGTCTCCCCACTGTAAGTTCTAATGTTTAGTGAGGTGTGAGGAAAAACCTTAGGCTTTCCCACATCCTTATCTTCCTATAACCTGCCTCTACTGGAAGTTCTTCTTTTTACTGAGGGTTGAGAAAGAACTGAAGGCTTTCCCACTGACATTACTAAGGCCTCTGCCTACTCTGACTTTTGACATGTCCAGTGAACTATGATGAACTCTTAAAGGATTCCCCACATTCCTTATGTACACAAGGCCTCTCTCTCCACTGTGAGTCCGCATATGTAAAGTGAGGGATGGAGAATAACTAAAGGCTTTCCCACATTCCTTGCATTCATAAGGCTTTTCTCCACTGTGAACTGTCATATGAAAACTGAGGTGTGAGGCCTGTCTAAAGACTTTCCCACATTCCTTACATTCATAAAACTTCTCTTCACTGTGAACTCGCACATGTATCCTGAGTTTTACGGCACAAGCAAAGGATTTTCCACATTTCTTACATCCATAGGGCTTCTTTCCAGTGTGTGCTCTTATGTGGTTAGTAAGATATGAAGAACGTCTAAAGGTTTTGCTGCATTGATTACATTCATAAGGCCTCTCTCTATGGTCACTACTTCTATGTTTATATAGGGTTGATTGATCATTAAATGCTTTCCCACATGTCATACATTTATAAGGCCTCTGTCTATTGTGAATATTTATATGTTGTCTGAGGTGTGATGGCCACCTAAAGGCTTTTCCACATTGCTTACATTTGTAAGGCCTCTCATCACTGTGAATCCTTATATGTGAAGTAAGGTCTGAGGAATCTCTAAAGCTTTTCCCACATTCCTGACATTTATGGGGCCACTGTTTACGATGAATTCTTCCATGTCGAGTGAGTTTTGAGCGCTGACGAAATGCTTTCCCACATTCCTTACATTGATAGCACCTCTGTTTACTGTGAGTTCTTATATGTTTAGTGAGGTTTGAAGGCTGACTAAATGCTCTCCCACATTCCTTACATTCATAGGGCCTCTCTCCACTGTGACTTTTTGAATGTTTAGTGAGGTGTGAACGCTGACGAAATGCTTTTCCACATTCCTTACAATCATAGGGCCTCTCTCCACTGTGACTTCTTACATGTATAGTGAGGTATGAGGGTCGATTAAATGCTTTCCCACATTCCTTACATTCATAAGGCTTCTCTTTCTTGTGAAATTTTTTATGCACTATCAGGGATGATGGATGACTACTGATTTTACAACATTCTTCACATTCACGTTTATGACCTCTCACATGTTTCCCAAAAGATGAGAAACTATCTAAGTCTTTCCCACATTTGTTACATTCATACCATTTCTCACCAGTGGGTGTTGTCACAGGATTACTAAGGGTTGACACGCAAAAGTCCTTCTTGGGTACATTATATTTCTGGGGCTTCATTCTCTTAAGAGTTCTCACAGGAGTGGTTTGGTGCGATGAACAATGGCAAGCTTCTCCACATTTTTTACACTGACTGGTATTGCCCGTGGTGTGCAATCTGGTGTGACACTTAGGTGATGAATGTTCCATTAGGGCCATTCCACACACAGAGGGTTGAAAAGGATTGACTTCTGGAAGGATTTTCTGTGCCACACGGAGATCTGGAACATGGCTGAAGGTCTTCTCACACTGATTGTCCTCATTATTTTCACAGAGTGTCTTTATTTTATGACTTCTGTTAAAGATAGGAAACATGCTGTTGGAAATAAATTTGTTCTCATTCCATCATTACCAAACAAAGTGAACGTGCATGGTTTGTGCCCTGATTTATATCACATTTCATAGGTTAATTTATCTAGCAGAAATAGACTATCATATTCAGTATTTTTCTAAAACAGAAGGCTTCCTGGTAATTCGGGTCAAAGTAAAGTATGTTTACAATATTCAGTATCTGTCTTACATTTATGAAAACATTTCAGTGTAAAGCTTTTCTGAACATTAAGTTTCAACTAATTTTATACATATAAAGAAATATATATATGTCAGTATATATTCATATCAGTACACATAAGCATTCTGAAATGGTCTCACAGTTCAGCAACTGCAATCTAAATGAGGACATTCTATACATTGCACAACAACCAAACCACTGCCAGTAAGAATTTGACCTGAGTAGGAAATAAACAGTGGTGCCCCTCAAAGACAGCAGCCAATTGGGCCGCTTTGAATGTGTGTCCCCTTCCACAGTCCTGCCACAAATGCAATCTCCCACGTAAGGGTCCTAAAGTTTTCAGGATCCATGTGGGACGTGGACTGTGACAAACAGTGTGGAGAGTGACAGTCATTCAAAGCAATATGCTTGGCCACATCTTTGAGCAGGGATACACAGATTGGTTCCTACTGGGACCGAAATCCGAATGGCAACAGATTTGGTTGCTATTCAACACACATGCTGCCTTCATTTAGACTGGCAATTAGTGTGTCATGACATGGTTTCAAGCCCAGTTATACAATACAGACACTCGTATGTGTACTGTAATGTCATGATACCTTAAAATTTTCTCCAGAGTGTTTAAAACTCACCTCAAACATCTCCCATGGTTTTTATGCTGATCTTTTTTGCCAATCAAATCAGAGATCGCTCTTAACGTGGACGACCAGATGTTATTCTTCATCAATCTCAACATTACACGATCACTGCGCAATTTGTCTCCATCAATAAAAGAGACTGACCAAAAATTCAAGTTTAGGTTCGTAACATGAAACAAGAAAGAAAGGATTAGGGGGAAAAAAGGTTGCTGTGAAGAAAGGAAGATTTATGCACATTTCACTATGACAGCATACTTACAAGGGATAAAAAAGAATTAACCAGGAAACACTTCCATGTGGACTGAGAATAAATGGTGAGAGAAATGGGTGTAATTAGGAGAACAAACTAGAAACATTATTAAATACACATGTAACATCACAGAAGAAAAAGGACCAGCATGACCACAGGTGAGAAAAGATGCCCAAACCTGAAAAATAATCTGAGGTATCTGTGAATTTGGGTCCTCAGTCCACAACAGACTGCAATGTAATTCCCTCCATGCAGGGCTGTTCCTTTGAAAAAATTCTTACTTTTCTGGTGCTTTCCAACAAAATAGCCCTTTATGAGTCCTATCTCGACTATTCTCAGATTTTCTTTGGCTTCTTGCGGAAAACAAATGGGCAGAGCTGACTTGGGGCTCATGAAGAAATGTGTATCATAAGGGAAGAAAGTGAAAACTGATGACCATTCCCCCATCACTGAGCTAACAGTGTGCTCTTCAGGTTCTCTGAAGCTGGACAGGTATGAGTTTATTTGCAACAAAATAAACACACAAAACTTATAATCAACACAGGGAAATTCTCTACAATATATCAAATCATAAATCTCTGTGCCCAAAAGTGACCTCTGAAGCCAAGCTTACACTTAGTAACAAGTAAAGAGTCTCAGAGCTTTAAATCACAAGAGAAATGTCCCTTTATAGACCTTCAGTTTATGGGGAAGTCAGGATATGTGAGCCCCACAGACCAAGGAACTGTGACACTGTTATTGAACAAATTACTCCCATTCCCCAGACCAAATACTCCATCAAAGTGTATGAGTATGCAATCAATAAAGAAATGAAAAAACCAACCAAACAAAAGATACTCTTCTTACCTACTGAAGCCAGGTTTCTCAAGGTTTCCATCATGACATCTTTGAAGAGTTTCCTCTGAGTAAGATCCAGCAAAGCCCACTCTTCCTGAGTAAAGACCACGACCACGTCCTCAACAATCACTGAGGCCTAAAACATCCCACACATTCTGGATCAGTAAAGCATATCATGAACTCCACTGTGTGCAAGAATGACGGGAGAGGCCGATAATCCCAGGGAACTGAGAATTCACAGGCACTGGACACAAACTTGTGTTCTACCAAGGTCTACTAGGGTATAACCATCAGTCCCTTCACTTACTACATTCACTTCCTCATGGATTTTGTCCTGTATCACAGACTTATAACACACTGAAATGATACCCTCACAGTCTGGCCGAGACCAAGTGAAGTCTTATACCTCTGTCTTTATTGTCTACAACAATGACAAATACTTGGACAAAAGCTCTCATTCAGATCATCACTCACTTAGGAACTAACAATTACACCTCTTTCCAAAAGACCCACCAGAACCCTCAAGAAAACCTAAAGTACAAGGTGAGGGCAGGATGGGGTCCTAACACTTGGGAAACACTGCAGGATGGAAGTTTTCCTTATTGCCCCTCACAGCCATGGGAGGATTGAAGGCCCACACAATCAACCCAGCCCGTAAAATCTTGCTGAAAATAATTCAAAAACAGTTACAGCAGTATACTGACAGGGGACTGCCAGAAATTCAAGCCAGATTCAGAAGAGGATGTGGAATGATGGTTATCACTTCTGACGTCAGATGGATCTTGGCGGAAAGTAAAGAATACCAGATGATGTTTGCCTCTGTTTTACTGACTATGCAATGTTGAAAATAGACAGTTCACAGCATTACTAAAAATACAAAGGAAGTGTCATTTGCACATATCAATCATACCAAATCATGTGAAAACTACTTCATTTTGATTTTACTTGGTTCAGAAGGGCTTTTAAACTTAAACAATTAATATTTGGATCTTAGAAATTAACATTATATTGACTAGAACAAATCTTGTTGTAGCTAGGTACTGTTGAGTTGGCTCCGACTCACAGCGACCCTATGTACAACAGAACGAAACACTGTCCAGTCCAGTATCACCCTCACAATTCTAGCTACACTTGAGCCCAAGACTGCAGCCAATGTGTCAACCAATCTCATTGAGCGCCTTCTCCTTTATCATTGACCCTCCACTTTACCAAGCATGATATCCCTTTCCAGGGAATGGTCCCTTCAGACAACATGACCAAAGTAGGTGAGACAAAGTCTGGCCATTCTGGCTTCCAGAGAGCATTGCAGCTGCATTTCTTCCAGGACAGATTTGTTAAGTTCTTCTGACAGTCCACAGCACAACTCCTCACCAAGACAACTCAAAACCATCAACTCTTCTTCAATCTTCCTTATTCGCTGTCCACCTTTCACGTACATATGCAACAGATGAAAATACCATGGCTTGCATCAGGCACACCTTAGTCTCCAAAGAGAAATCTGTGCTCTTCAGCACTTTAAAGAGGTCTTTTGCAAAAGACTTCCTAGTGCAATACATCATCTGATGTCTTGACTGCTCCTTCCATTGGTGTTGCTTGTGGAACCAAGTAATATGAAGTCTCTGACAACTTCAATCTTCTCCATTTATATCATGATGCTGCTTATAGGTCAAGTTGTGAGGATTTTTGTTTTCTTTATGTTGAGATGTTGATACTTCAGACTGTAGTCTTTCAATATTCATGAGTAAGTGCTAGAAGCCATCCTCACTTTCAGCAAGCAAAGTTGTGTCATCTGCGTATCGCAGGTTGTAAGTCTTCCTTCAATCCTGATGCTGTGTTCTTCTTCATAATAGTTCAGCTTCTCAGATCATCTGCTCAGTATACAGACTGAATAAGTATGGTGAAAACATATAACCTGGATGCACTCCCTGATTTTAAACCATGCAGTATCCCCTTGTCCTGTTTGAACGACAGTCTCCTGGTCTATATGCAGGTTCCTCATGAGAACAAATCATGTAAAAGCAAAATAAGGACCACAATCCAAGTGTCCTGTGACAACACAGTTAAAAACAATAACAAAAACACTAGATCAAACTTATTATTGCATAGTTTTATAGGAATTTTGATATCAGCCTTCAATATGCTGGTATGAAATGATCACCAGGAGAGTTTCTTCATTCAAATGTGAGGGCAAATTCCACCCTACCCATTGTGTAACAAACTGGGGAAAATAAAAAATAACTACTTGCATTTCCTCACTTCTAGATCAACTATGGGAAGATGCTTCAGAAAGTGAGAGCTGGTTATTCAAAGGCTACTGGAGGACAAGGGAGGGGCTGCATAAGGACAAGGGCAGGAACCCATCTTCACAAAGTATACTTAAAAAAAAAAAAAAACCCAGCTATGGAAATATCCAAAGTAAATAAGCCTACAAGACTGTAAACAGGGGACCAGAGACATCAACTGACAAATGAGGACAACTACAAACCAAAAAGAGGGGAAAAACTGGGTCGTTACAGAACTTCTAGATGGTAGGGAAGTCAAGACAACTACAAGATAGAACGGACTGTTCTAAACTTGGGAAGAAAACTGTAAATCACAGGGCAACCTCGAAAAAAAAAAGATAAAACCTTCACATCAAAAAAAAATTCTTTGAAATATAATTTATGTACAGTGAAATACACAAAAACTAAAGTGACATGAGTCAACACATTTTTCTTTTTTTGCAGTGTTCACTCCCCTCCCCTCCCCCTTGGTAACCAACAAAGAAAGTTTCCTTCATATATAA